GGGAGGAGGGGGAGGCTGGTGGTGGTGTGATCACCCTGAAAGTGACACAGGATACTGGCACTGTGAGTCACAGGCTGAGGATGAAGAGGAGGAGGAGGAGAGAGGAGAGAAGGGTTGGAGGCTGAGTGGGTGGATGTTGGATGGGGGATGGGACACAGTGGGCAGGAAGTGAAAAAGAGTGACTGGACCTGTGAGTCAAAGGGAGAGTCCATTGACCAAAGACACACACTCACACTCACACTCACACACACACATACACACACACACACACACACACACACACACACACATGCGCACACAGACACACAGACACGCACACGCACACACACACACACACACACACACACACACGCACACACACGCACACGTACACATATGTACTTCACTTTACTTATTCTTAGTCTTAATCTTTTCTTTTCATGTTTCATTTTCTCTAGAGCCATTACAAGTCAGAGTCGAGGATGATTAAAAGTTAGTGCCAGTTAACAAAAAACATATATGAGTTATAGGAACATGTAGTGTGTTCTTAATAAGGTCCTTCTACAAAACAAACACATTGAGTAATGACACACACAACTTCCTGAGAGGCTTCTTCTCAGAACTGATATCATAGGTGATGTGAAGATTAAGACATGCATTTCCTGATAGAGATTTAGTTGATATTTGGTGTCGTTATCGTCTCATCTTCTTCTTATATAAGTACCAAAAATTCACAACTTTCAACCTATTTTTATAATGGAGGACATAACTTCATTTTATTTTGAATACAACATGTGGCCCTTATAAAGAGAACAGGTGCTATTAACTGGATGACCCCCCCTTTTCTTGCTTGACCAATGGTTACAAAAAAATCAAACATTATGTACACAATGGAACAAATGACAGCCCAGTTACAACTGAGACTGCCTGTTTTCAAAAGGAGAAGGATAGGAAGGACGTTTAAAAAGGTGATGGCAGCAGGAACAAATTAGTTTCTAATCCTCTTTGTCCTGCATGCTGGCAGACTGAATCTGAGGCCTGACGGCAGCAACTTAGAAACCTTGGACGTGGATGAAAAACCACAACTCCCAGAATGCACTGCACCGCAGGCCACTCCCACTAAGGTCAGGTTTACAGACATTTCCTCAACTGATTCCGAGATTTCTTCCAGAAGGAATTGGCATCTTGTAAATTCCTGTCAGAAAACAGACTCTATGTCTGTTTCCATAGAAACAGTGAGAGCACTGACACTACCAGTCCGCCCCGGCTCCTCGTCCTCAACGCAGCAGCCCCCTCGTCACTATATTGCGGCTCGTAGAGATAGCCACAAACATCCGATTCGAGCACAAGATCTTAAAAATCCCCTTCATCCATATCAGTTTGAAGTTGAAACATACTTTTATCATACATTTGTTCTTATCAACTTTCTCCATAGAGCCTGTTAGCATAGATTCCTAACAAGATGGCGGACGTTAAGTTTCGATTCTGGGAGTGAGTTCCCACCCACTGATCTGTAGTTTCACCCCCTCTAACCAAAGCAGCCTACGATGACGCAAAATTACGGGTTTTTTTTTTGCCTCATCAGAGGCTCCTTTTCAGAAAAGTAATACAGATCTTTCAGGGGAAAATGAGGGCAGGATGCACGACCATTCAAAAATACTACCAGGTGTCTAATGATACAAAGATTAATGCAAATAGGTGAAGTATCCCTTTAAGAACAAGTTCTTTAAAATCAATATAATGGAGTGTAGGCTGATCACTCCTGTGTTTTATATTTGATTTGTTTTCTGATTCAGCATCAAACAAGGATTCCTTGCATCCCTCCATGCATCTCTGGTGGGGAGGGACTGAGATGAAAGTGGAGGAGGCAAGTGAGGGATGCATGGAACTGAGACATACCCCTAGACTGTATCCAAATTGCCAAGTACCTACTCAATCTGTCAGTAAGCAGTAGGCAGTACCTGCTATCCGTGCTGTATACTGTTTTGTACCTACTATTCAGTATGCACACACAGTAGGCAGATATTTGTTCCTACTTCTTCTGATTCATTCAGTTCGGAAGTGATGTCATTTACGCATTCACCCGTTTTTTTTGTTTTTTTTGTTTAGCTTTATTCAAGAAGAGTAATGTGCATACAGTCAGGTAAACAAAAAACAATATCACAATGTAAATCAAGTAAAAGACAGATTAAATAACTAAATAACATACAGTACACATTTTCAGTACAGAAAAGTACAAATGAAAGACAGTAATATACAGAATATAAAATAAACCAATAAAGACACATTTAAATAGTTAAATCATTATTTAAATAGAGGGGGAAATGTTTTATAATAATGCAGACATTTGTTATATTTTCTGTTGTTAATTAAAAGTAGTGATTTCAGTCGGGACTTGAACTTTAGATTAAAAATGTATTAGATTAATCCACGCTCGTTTGTTTTGATTTGGAGGCGGATGTGACGTGACGGTTTTCGCACAGCATTGTGGGAGTTAAAATACAATTCATTTCCTGAAAGCACGCATCCGATCCATACTGCATGAAACCTGGAAGTTAGTATCCATACAGAAATGTTCAGTATACTGAGGTGGACCCAAAAAATGCATACTGAATGACCATGAAAGTTCAGTATACTGAAACTCCATACTGAATAGTACGTACTGCTTACTGAACTGTGGCTATTCGGAAAGGGCCCTTGTTGCAGGTAGATGTGGGAGGAGTCTGAGAGGACTCTAATGCAGCACACCTGAGCAGGCTGGTTTCAGGAAGATATAAAGCAGACCTGCTCATTCTTCTCACTCTCTTTCTTGGCCAGCAGACTGCTGTCAGAATTTCTTTGTATATGCTCAGTCACCCTTACTTCCTCTCAAGCATAACACCTTGTAATTTATTAATTAAATTAAAATATAATGTATAATGTTACTGTCTGTGTGGTCTCCCTCTTTTGTTGCATACTGTTGATCCAGGTTGTGACACTGACGAGCAAATGTGCAGATGGCCTTTCTCCACATTTATGCACACAGATGCAAAAAAGAGCAAACTGCACAGAGCAGGACAACTAGTGGGTGTGTTAGGGCTGGTGCATTTTTAGTGCAGATTCTTTTGTGGATTGGATTCTTAAAAGGGGCAGATTGCAGGTAATATTTCTGCCTGATTCAACAAGAAGTCTTTCATGCTCAGTTTGTGTTAAATGATTTCTGGTTATGGAAGAGGATAAGTTGTGTTTGATTTAGTTTAGATATAGCCCAGGCACAAAGTAGTATTAATATTTGGTTTGTCATTGTTTGAGATTAGCTGGTTTTCTAGTGTCTTGTAATTCCATACAAACTGGATGGCTGGGCCTCTTTTTGCTGCATGTGTTGCACACTTGTACAAACAGGAATTTCCGAGCGTGCATGGGTTTTTATAATAATTATTTTACTTTGTTCTCTGAAATACCGAAACACAAGCACATCAATTAATATTACCGGACATCTGGGTCAACTGAATTATGTACGTGTATCACACTCCTGCTAATTTAAATATGATGCACTGCTTGTTATTCTCACTCTGTAAAATGTTCTGCACACAGTTAATATTAAAGAAGGCTACATGTGGTTTTACTACTGTCAGGTGCAGCACTTGACTGACTGTCAGTTAACTTTCACTACTCAAACATAACTGTCATGATTTGGTCACTTGTGTGTTTTTGTAATGTTTCATAGTTTAGACTTTAATGTTTCCTGTATTATGTTGTAAAGTTTCTGTGTTCTCGTGTGTATTGTGAATTATTATTGTATCTCCCTGATTTATGTTTTGAGTTCTCTGTGTCTTCAGTGTTTCATGATTTATTTTGTATTTTCCTCAGTGTTTCTTGTCTTGTATTTTCTCCCTGCCTCTGTGTGTTTCCCTCCAGTCTTGATTGCCCTGATTGTCCTCACCTGTGTCTTGTTGGTCTCACCTGTGTTTGATTACCCCTGTTTATTTAGTCTCTGTCCTTCCCTCTTGTTGTCAGTTCATTGTATAGTTTTGTCGGTCTGTTTCAGAGTTTCCCCGTGTTAGTGGTTGCATGTCAGTCTTACTGGTGATTCCTCCTGAACTGTCCTGGCTATGTGCCCTGCCTCCAGGCCGTCTGCCTGAAGGTCCGGAGAAACACAGAAACACAAGCACATCAATTCAGCGTGGCTGCATATTACTGGACATCTGGGTGGACAGAATAATGCATGGCACCAAAGACCCCTATGCTTCCCCAAAAGTACCTGTGAGACTTACTCAACTTTAACAACATATAAAAACCTACTCAAATACTACAGATGCCTTTGTACGTCCCTGGTACCAGCAGAGAAGTAACAGACAACCACAGAAACTGACACAGCCAACGAATTGTTGCAATCAATAAGGAAAGGTTTACAGGGGAACAAATCAAAAAGGCTGCCGGTAAATGGTAAATGGACTTGAGTTTAAATGGACTTGAGCGCTTTTCTAGCTTTCCAACTACTCAAAGTGCCTTTACACTGCAGGTCACACCTACACATTCACACACTGATGGTGGTTATTGCTATGTAGTATCATCAATCAGAAATAACTTATCCCATTCAGACACCACCACTGAAGCAATTCAATTCAGGGTCTTGCCCAAGGACACATCAGACATGTCGCCCAGCTGGGGATTGAACCCTCGGTCTTCCAAGTTGAGAGGCGATGACTCTACCAAGTGAGCCACAGCCGCCCCATAGCATAATGATTGAACAAGTTCATATAAAATATAACCCTAACCCTAACCAAAAAGAAACATGAGAATGGGGGCTGCCAGTGTCCATAAACATGCTTGACATTACTACTCCACACATGACACTTAATAAACTAATTCTAACAAGGCTACTTCTGCTAGTTCTCAAATGTAAAGAAGGTATCGGCTTTTCTTATTGCAAACAGTTTGTGTTTGTGTTGCAGTTTCTTCCTCCCTCACTATACACATAATCATGCCTAACTCTTTTTTTTCTCACTTCCTTAGAAGAGGTCTGTTATATTATCAGTGAGTGCGTGTGTGCCAACACTTATCTGAATCACTTTAGACAGTTCGGCTGCAGAGAAACATCAGACATTGTTGCTGGGACTTCATTCAGGTGAGATCTGGTAACTTTAAAATGTCAGTGTTGTGGTCTTATTACAAATACAATTGAAAAGAAAAGGAAGTGCAAACAGTCCTGAGAATAAATATGAACCTGATGATATATTTATGTTTGTTTGGTGGGGGTGGTTACTCTGTTATTTCTTAAAATCACAAGTATGTGTTTGAAATAAATCTCTTAAAAGTTATTTGCAAATAAACTCTGAGCTTATTGACTACGACGGAGGACTAGGGCCACGTAAAAAAATTCAAAAATTTCTAGATTAAACTCGTAAATTAACGGGTTCGAGACCAGCCTGCGCACATGATGAAAGTAGAACTCTTAAAGTCTTTTCCTCTGCAGACAGACAACATCCTCCCAGTCAGTGTGGTTCTTTCTTCAGTTTCTTCAGTATCTTTTCAGGGTCCTGATATTTTAAAGACAATGTGAAGATGATGAGGTGCCAAAAGCATGTGTAGTTTCATATCTGCATAAGTAAACAACACAACTATTTGTGTCTGTTATCGGTCTGCCTTGTTAAAGTGTCTCATGTGCAGAGACAGTTTGTGTCCTGTTCATCATTTTACAGATAAACAAAGTCTTACAAGTTGAAGTGAAAACTTCTCTTGAACTGTTTTTACCGACTACACAAGGAAGTAGCCTATTTCCTAATTAGTGAAACCTTTACTAAAGTATAACAAGATGTGCACGTTTGTCATTTGAGAACAGGATGCTGCTGATCTTCTGATATAGACTAAATAACGACTTTATTATTTTATTCTTTAAAGACTTTAAGGGTTCTCCTTTCATCAGTTTCACGCAGGCTGGTCTCGAACTCGTTATTATTATTTTTTTAACGTGGCCCTAATCCTCCGTCGTATATTAACAAATTCAAATGATTAATATTTTTCTCTCTTAATATAATCACACATTGTTTCCTTTCCTCCAAACCAACATAACCCACTGAGATGTATTTCTAGAAATGTTTTAATTTTCCAGGAAATGACAACAGCTGAGGTGTGAAGAAGAGTTTTGTGGTTATCTTTGAAACTCTCCCTGCGAGTTAGAGTTAAATGATCTAATGACATTGATGAATCAGATGCAGAATCAGGACAGCGGAGGATTATTCAAGACCCATTTATTTACTTTAATTAGCAGATTATGATATTTGAAATGTCTGAAAAAACACTGTTGAGAGACGCTATGTTTGATTGGCTATGGTTGTTGTTTAACTGAATTTCAGTGAACACTGTGTTTGGCTGAAATTCAAAATATAAACATTAAAACATTTCAACAACTGAGAAAATCTGAAATTATAAAAAAAAAAAAAAAAAAGATCTGGTGCTTTCCTGAGGTTCAATTCATATCTGTGAAAATGATCTTGACTCGAATAAAGTCTCCATGATGAAAGCCCCATGTTAAACATATTCAGCAGTCCTGACCAATGAATCATCCTCTTAGATGTCACACTGCCTGTATCCAAATCAAAAGGGATCATTTAAAACATAGAAATGAATATAAAAAATAGTCTGACTAAACTATTTAACAATCATCAGCTTTTACACTTGCAGAAAAAAACACATGGTAAATGTCTCCCTGTTTAATTAATTAATTTTTTTAAATTAGTGCTGGTCATTGCTTCATTTATGTCACCGTGCAACACATTTCTTAAAAACTCCCTATGTCTTGATCTCTTTACCTCTAGGTTTCAATCTGAAGAATGACAGAAAATTATAATAACATCACCCACTGGAATGGCAGCTATGAATACTTCAACGATGAGTATAACCAAAAATTAGATTTCATAATGCACGTGGTAAGATGCGTCATCATTAGTATCGGCCTTCCTCTGACGCTCATGGTCATCTATTCTCTTTGCTTTCTGGTATGTACATTACATGACTTTATTCATTTACTGTCTGTGCCATGTGTTTGTGGAACAGTCTCAGGATCAGAATCAGATCAACAATCAATTTTTGAGCGGTAGACAGTTCTTACTGTGTTAAAGCAGTGTGCATATATTGATGTCACATGAGGAGGATGATAAGAGCTGAAAGTCCAGGAGGTGTTCACTGAGCCAGGTTTCAGTGAAACACAGGGCAGTGGATCTGCTAAAGTCCGTATTTGTCCTGTCAGGAGCAGCAGCTCGTCCATCTTGTGTGCTACATAAGTAGATGTTTGCCAGGTAAATGGACTAGAGTGCAGAGCACAGTCTGAAGTCTCTGCTGCCTCACAGTTTCATTGCTCCATCAGCGGCGTCTTCAGTAAATCCCATAGAGATCTGCTGCCCCTCCATATGGATCAGGCTCAGGGGCAAGGATTCAGTTGAATTGGAGGGTGTGTCGTAAAGACTTGTACAGTTCATTTAGAAATGATTTAATAGATAATTGGTATTACATAGTGCTGCTTTAATAGGCTAATTATTGAGCCCACGTTTTATTAAGAAAAAAATATCAAGGAAATGGAAACATTGTATAAATATTTGTGTTCCTTTTCCTTAAACGATACAAATTCATCAACTTCGTTCTGTGGGATTACTCATTAGCTACTGTGTGCAGCGACCATAAAATACAGTACAAACATTCATGCTGGGCAGAGGCTGAATCTAATAACTTTTGTGATCCCATGTTTTTTAAATTTGGACCTCATCATCAGGTCAAATTGTCCAATTTGGTTTATGACTGACAAACAGTGAAACTAATGCTATTATTATAAACTCCAGCTGTTCGTTGTCTTTAATGCTACTACAAGAATAAAGCAGATTTTTGTCTGCTTACATGCTAAAATGAACTGGCCTAATAGCAAACAGTCGGCCAACCTTCATCACAATCTTTTTTAAAGCACATGAAGATCACATTAGTGTTGTTTGTCATTTGAAGATTGTTTTGGGGATTTTCATGCCTTTATCTTTTAGATATAGGAGAGTGGACAGAGTCAGAAATGAGGAAGAGAGAGAGTGGGGAACGACATGATGGGAAGCAGCCACAGGTTGGATTCAAACCCGTGCTGCCCGCCTGGAGGACAACAGCCTCTGTTCATTGGACACACGCACTAAACACTTTACTACGTGCTTCCCCGGATTTTGAACTTTCATCATAATTGAATGCTGTCACCAGAAAAGAGATTTTAAAAGTATAGCTGCATGTCTGCAGATATACCAGTGTGTCAACTACAATGAGAGATGGATGAAAAATACATACAAGTCTCTTACTGCAACAGCTGGGCAGAAGAAGGATGAGAACATGTTTACAACTGATTGTCTTCTTATGTTTTTCTGCAGGTACGAAAGGATCATGTGGCTCCAATCTACGTCATCAACCTTCTCATTTCTGACCTCATTCAGTTCTGCTGCCTGCTCATTCTGGAGATAAATCAGCATCAGTCTCTTAACATCGTAAATTATATTTACAGTAGTGGCCTAATGACCAGTGTTTGCTTCATGGTGTGTGTCTCACTGGAAAGGTAATTATACGTCCTATAGCTACGTCTGTTTCTGACTTTAATATTTCTGACTTATTCTGCACCTCCTCAAAGACAATGTGTCCATCTTTTATTGCAGATATTTGGTCATCGCCCACCCACTGTGGTACCGCTTCAAACGAACCATCAAGATCTCTGTGGTGGTCAGTGTCGTGGCCTGGCTCTTACCTCCTGTCACTTTCCTCCTTCTGTTTCTCTTCTCTCAGCTTCTCTGGGTTCCTGTTGAAGTGATATATATCATCATCATCATCATTTTCCTCATCATTCCCTTCCCACTGTTAATATTCTTCCTGGTTGGGACCCTCAGAGCCCTCTCTGCTTCTGTCTCCATCCCCTTTGAAGAAAAATGTCGAATTGTTGGAATCTTGGTCATGATGCTGCTCATTTACACACTGCTGTTCCTGCCCAGCATCATTTTATTTATTCTCATGTACATGAACATATTTGACCGAAATCTGGGTGTCTTATCTGGCATGTTCTTTACGCTGAGTCCTCTTGCAGACTTAATTCTGTATGTTTTCTTGAGAAAAGAGTCCATTGTAAAGCTTTATACCGCTGTGAACTGGTGCAGACTTGCCAATGCTGACACGAACATATAGACTGTAACAACACCACAGGTAACTGAACCCAAAAGCACGACTCACAACGCAGTCTTTACTCTTTCAGCTGACAGAATCCAAAAAAGTGATCAAAGAGGAAACAAAAGGCTTGACCGCTTCTCACAGGGGTCAAAGACGAACTGGCACAGAAGGAAGAGAAGCTACAGGCTAAATACTAGGGTGAGGGGGAAGACAACGAGATGCAGCTGGGAACAATCAGGACGGGGCAGACAATCACACAGGTGGGAAACACATGAGGGCAGGAAGTGAAGGATCTGAAACGAGAGGAGAAGTTAGTGACCCAAAACAGGAAATAATACAAGATAGAAATAACAACAACCTAAGACACTGAGCTGGACATGGCATAGACAGTATGAATGTGGACAACATTTTGACATTGAGCTCCATGGAGGAAAAGAGAATGAGGAGAAAACAGACCAACATGTTCTCTCAGTTTAGAACAAATGTATTTCTTACAAAACTGTATTTCTTTAGCTTGTTGTTCTTCTTGACAGTTAAATACACTTTCTACTCTTCTTAACTTTCTAATCTTCTGATCAATAAAAGCTTTACTTGTGCAGTTCAAGTGGTTAGCATGTCAGCTTTTAGGATGTGAGAGAAGAGGTCCTATTTATTGTAAATTTGACAAAATGAAATATTATATCACAGTCTCACTCATAACATTTTAATAATACTATGACATTCAATAAATAAAAATCTGTTTCAAGACAAAAACAGGAAGTTATTGACTTATTAAAATCTAACAAACATTACATTTTGTGAAGCTCACTAGTTAAGATCCAACAACAACGCTAAATTTCAAGAATATTTCTCATCATGTCAGACTTTTTACTTCAACAACTTGGCTTCTGACAAGCTTTTTGGATAACTGACAGATATCCCCACAGTGACATTAGGAATGATGGTTACACTTTACAATAAGGGTACATTAATTAACATTAGTTAAGGCATTATTAAGCCTTAACTAATGGTTACTAACAGTTAACTAATGTGTCTAGTAATCATTTATTAAGTGTGTTCATGTTATCTACGATATTAATTAATACATTATTTAGGATTATTAAGGATGCTGTTAACATTAGTTAATGCAGTAATAAGCCTTAATTAACAGTAAATTCATACAATAATGAACATTAAGAAACCCTTAACAGATGTCTCCTGTTAACATTAACTAAGGTTTTACATGTTAATTAAGCCTATTAACTAATATTACTAAATGGTTGCTAAAGATGTTCATTTAGATACATGTCTTGAAGTTCACAGTAAAGTCATGTCATTAAGACAAAACTGTTTTTATTCATGTTTATTAAAGGTTAATGACTGTTCACTTGTCCATCCTCCAACTGGTGACTTATTTTTGGTAAAAGTTGAGATCAGTGGACCACACCATGGTCTTCATGTAGACATTAGATTGTTACTTTATCTTCATGTAGACGTTCTTAACTTACAGCCTAACCTATGTTATAAGCATTTCTAAACCATAATTAACCATTTATTAATGCTCTGAATAAGCATGACTTAACCATAATTAACCATTTATTAATGCTCTGAATAAGCATTACTTAACCATAATAAACCATTTATTAATGTTCTGAATAGCATTACTTAACCATAATTAACCATTTATTAATGCTCTGAATAAGCCTTACTTAACCATAATAAACCATTTATTAATGCTCTGAATAAGCCTTGTAAATTTGAATCAATCACAGAGCTATTAAACTTCAGTGAAACATTAACAAATCGAATACAATCATCATGAAAACCATCTCTTTTCCACACTTACTCAAAATTTTAAAAAAAATTGCAACTTTTTACATCATGCTCAACATCCTTTATTTAGAAGATGTAAGAATTTTAGTGTTCTTTGAAAGGAATAGCAAAAAGGAGATTTAACAATTTCACTTTGTTTCTCACAGACATGACCCTTGCATCTTATTTTAAAAACAACATTTTCAACTAAAAGTAAAGAGTCTCCAAGAGGAGTTAACCGCAGAGACATAGGCGTAATTTATGGGGGGGATGGGTGGGTTGCAACCCACCCAATAATCCAAACCAGCCACCACAACCCACCCAATATGATATCATAATTATTGATAATGAATGTTAAGTATTATAAACACGACAATGTGGTAGATTTTTTCAATTTAGCAGTAAAAAATAGTGACGTTTGTCTGCGCCCCCTCCCACTCTGAGATTTGGTTTTGCCCACCTCAGACCTGTGCGTCCCTCCCTCCTCTCTCTTTATAAGTCTCTCCCCGTGTATGTATGAAGCCAGCACGAGAGAAAAAGAAAGCCCAACCAACAATTTTAAGTTGTTGGTTGGGCAAAATAATAAAAATATCTTCCCAACAGGAGGTACGCTACTGCTAGGGCTCCAGTGCCACCACTTACGAGTCAAATAATGTTAACTGAACAAAAGTTAGTCCTACTTTCTGCTGTGCTGTGTCTTAGCCAGTTAGTCAGATTTGCTATTCAGTTAACAGGCGACTTTGTCATCATTGAGCCCAGGAGAGCTCTGTGCGGTCACTTGATCAGCCAAAGATCGTCTATATACATGAAGATGATTGTTCCATGAAATAATGAGAAGGATATCATGTCGATGTTGCTTTTTTGACTTTTTGTATTTAAATTGTGCCTTGTAAGAGCATACCATTCCTACCTGCTCATCTGAAACCTCAGAAAATGACAACGTTTTGCTGCAATGTAAAGTTCAGTCAAGTATATAGTCCTGTTTGATTGTAAGGTGTGTTGTGTTGGGAAGTTGTCTTATATGTTGCTTTGAATTTATGGTTAAAACTTTTGATTGTTGTGAATGTGATTTATGTTATATTTTCACTATGCTTGTGATCTGTCTCTCTACCTGAGTGGCGGCTCATGCAGCCTGTGTGTGTATATGTTTATTTACTTGAGCAAATATATGAAGTTTATGTCAAAATATTATATTTATATATATATATATATATATATATATATATATATATATATATATATATAGAGTTAAAGATTTTCTCATGCGGGTCATGTCCTCAAACCTGCTTCACAGGCGGAAATCTCAACCCCCCCCTAATGTTCAACTCAAAGTTACACCCTTGCGTATAGAACATGTTTTTGAATGATCTCTAAGATTAAGGACTAATTCACTTCAACATTAACACCAAAACAGAATACCGGCACAAGGTGGGTTTAAGAGAGGGTGAGGTAGTGTTCCTACAAGCGGTACCTATGACTTGGGTCCTTAATTAATATTCCCAAAGGACCATCTTTATGACAGTTTGCTAGCCAGTAGGTCCACTCAAATAGTAAGAGATGATCTTTTAGCAGGGCCTCTGTCCAAGTCGCTCTTTGTCACCATGCCTTCTCCTTCTATAAGGCCACTGCTCTCTCCAGGTTGTGTGTGGCTGCCTGTCACTGGGTCAATAAACCACCAATGGTGGTTGATAGAAAAGTGTCTGTATACGTACACCTCTGTAGGCCACTGTCACTGAGGATGGTGATTCTTGGATGTAAATGGCACAAAATGAGTGACTTCTGTTGAAGTGACTCTCACTTGTAATGGCTCTGGACAAAATGAAACATGAAAAGAAAAGAACAAGACTAAGAATAAGTAAAGTGAAGTACATATTAATGCATCTTTAATAAAGCATACTTTATCATAATGTTTCAATTTTGTTAGTAAGTAAATGATTAGTATGATAAGTGTGTGTGTGTGTGTGTGTGTGTGTGTGTGTGTGTGTGTGTGTGTGTGTGTGTGTGTGTTTAGGGTTCACACAAACTTATGATGCTGCATAGTTAATTATTTTAAATGAATGAAAATGCATTAAACTTTACTTACCACCTATAATGACACGTTATGATAAAGCATGCTAACATAAGCCAGCTAGTGGGCATAGTTATATGTATAATGAATTTACATTACGATAGCCAGTTAGATAACGTTAGGAAATTTACCCTGTTCTTCTGCAGATTTATCTGTGGACATTTTTCATCTTCACGGTCTGCTGCGTTTGAATTGGAGATGTTTGAGGTCTTGGCTCCATTTTGCCACATCTTGGGAGTGATAGCTTTCTGGTACAGTACATAGACATGGGTAGAGTCGGTGTTACATGAAGGCATGTAAACAATAGACTGTAAATATTACCGTTGTAACCGGTAATAATTTTTCCCAAGTGTTTCCGCCATGTACTGTGATTGGCTAGTGAGACTGTGCTCTGATTGGCTAAAACACATTTTCACAACAGACATCTTCTGTGGCTGTGCTGCGGTGCAAGAGGGAAGCAGATATGCACACAGGCACAACTCAATGCAGTCTTTGGCTGTTAATACTTTACATGTAAGTAAGGTGATTTAAAACCCTCTGAGGTCGACGCTGTCATAAAATAGTTTTATTTAAATTATTAGCTGTAAAAATTGAACGTTACAACGTAGCAACTTCATTTAAAATCCACTTGCTTTGTTAGCTCAAGGCTATCTGGTGATAATCCGTGTATTTCTGTGACATCCAGAGGCTTCTCTACTGAGAAGATCAGTCTCAGTCTATGTGAGTGTGTAAAATGAGCAATAACCAAACATTATGAAATAGATTTTTGTTCTTGAATTACTTTTTTACAGGACATGTCTGGGACTTGATGGCACTGGTGTTGGAGGAGGTGTTTCAGGAACCAGAAACATTCATGGAGGAGCTGCGGAAAATACCTGGCTCTAAAAAAGAAGGAGGGGTGGCTCGACATGTGTCCAGGTGTAGTCAAGGGGCGGGCGGAAGCCAACATACTGTCCAGTCGGGTCAGGAAACTCAAGGCGAATCCTCAGGACAACACACGACAGGATAACCACTCCAACCACTGCCAAGTGTCTGCACAGCCTGTATGAGACAATATAGTTGGATGTAAAAATGTTACTTCTCATTGTATATTTACACGTATAGTTCTACACATTTAAATGTTTTTTTTAACCTTAGCTGAGAATAAAGAACTTTCAACAAATGATTTTCTCACTTGTTTACTTTTAGTCCTCTGAAATAGTGAAACTGTTTGATTAGAATGAATTTGATTGAAGATGTAAATCATTATTTATAATGAACATACTCTTCTGCAATTCTCCGTGACGTTCTCCTCTGAAGATGTTGTGGATGTTTTGAAGTGTATATGGGTTTAAACAGTCCTGGATGTTTTTGGTACAAGGAACGGGCAGCAGATTCATTCTCCTGATGAAAGAAGAAGACACTGATTAAAATGAAATAATGTTCAATAAGAAGGAAAATAATGACAGAGGAGGAAACATTATTGCATGAGATATTGATCCAACAAACACGTGATTATCACCTGGGCTTTTGTAGTCACAGTAAGTAAGTCTATGATGTCATTGATACTTATAAATACTTATAATTGCTCATTGAATTTTTAATAACATCAAGGAGGTGATTTAC